ATGTATTTGTATAGTTTTGAATGTTTCTTTTATTATTGATGTCTAGCATCATTCTATTGTGGTCAGATAAGATACTGGACATGATTTTAACTTTTAAACATTTTGGAGGCTCATTTCATGGCCTAAGATATGGTCTATTCTGGAGACTGTCCCATGTGCTGATGAAACAATTGTGTATTCTACAGATGTTGGGTAAAATGTCCTGCCTGTGGTGCAGTTTAGATCCAATGTTCTTTGTTGATTTTTTGTCTAATTGATCTGTCTGATGCTGAGAGAGCCTCTATTGTTGTATGGGGATCTACTCCTCATCTGGCCATCTCGACTTTACCAGTAGTTGTTTTTCTCTTTCAGTACTTTGAATATATAATCCCTTTGTCTCCACAGAGCCACTTGTTGAATAGAGATCACTTCCCCTGGTGTATGTTTTTGTCTCCTTTGTCAAAGTTGAGATGGCCAGATGAAAATGGCTTCATCTCTGGGTTCTCTGTTCTGATCCATAGGTTTCTGTCTCTGTTTTTAAGCCAGTACCATGCTGTTTTGGTTACTGTAGCCTGTAGTATAGCTTAATGATCCCACCCAATTTGTTCTTATTGCCTAAGCTTGCATTGGCTATTTGGGGTTTTTCCTTGTTCCATAAAAAGTATACAACTATTTTTCTATCTTTCTTTCTTTTTTTTGGTCAGTCAGGTCCAGGTGAGGTCAAGTTTCAAACCTGTCACCCCTGATGTGCAGGGAAAGTGTGCTCACCACTGAGCTATAGCACCCAGCTACAACGCTCTTCTAGATCTGCAAAAAATGACATTGGTATTTTGGAAGGCAGCTGTGCCGACCATATTACCACCAATGCTGGCACAGGACACTGGTATTTTAATGGAGATGTCATTGAATCTGTAAATCACTTTGGTAGTATGGATATTTTAATAATGTTGATTCTGCCAAACCGTGAACTTGACATGCATTTCCATCCATTTCTATCCTCTGCAATTTCTTTTGTCAGTGTTTCATAGTTCTTCCTACACACATCTTTTGCCTCCTTGGTTGAATATAGTCCTAGGTGTTTTATTTTCTTTGTTGCTACTGTGATAGATATTGTGTCTTTCAATGTGAATTTCTTCTGTCACCATGATTGTGAAGCTTTATTCTACCCAGGTCACAATGAGCTGGCAACTTGAGGCTGGGAGTCCCTGACAGGGCGTTAGACTTTGGGGCATGTCTTCCAGCTCTGATGAAAGTGGTAGAGGCTTTGGGGCAGGGTCTAGGTGCAGTACAACAGAGTCAAGGATGGTTTCTTGGGCTTGGTAGGGCCAAGAAGCCAGAGGAAAGGCTTTGAGAAGGATAAAGTTGATCTGCCTTGGAGGGTGGGGTCAGGGGCCCAGCTTGCAGGAGGCAGTTAGGTCCAGGAGGGCAGAGTCTAGGTCAACTGCATGGCACACTGTTCCACCAGATTTCATGGACCTGCCAAAGCTAAGTAGCAGCTCACTGCTTCACCAAACCACTCAGATGGTTTCAGTGATGCTTGGATCTCTCGAAAAATATATATCATATATGTATATGCAGGTATATATATTCTGTATTTATGATTCGAATTACAAGATTGTGGGCGGTTGTGAGTTCAAAATCCATAGGGCAGGTGACTAGGTTGGAACCCTGGAGTGAGGGCTGACTCTGCAGTCTGGAGCAGCATCCCTTCCTTCCCAGGATACTTTAGTTTTTGCTCTTAAACGCTTTCAATGACTAGAAAAGGCCTACCACCTTATGGTGCATAATCTGAATCTTCACTTAAAGTCAACTCATTGTTGATGCCAACCACACCTAAAATATGCCTTCAAATAAAGACATAGATTAGTGTTTAACTGAGTAATTGGCTACAATACCCTAACCAAGTTGACAGAAAACTAACTTTCATAGGCATTAGGGCGCCCAGCCTCCGCAGCCGAGAGAAAATTACTTCTGGTGGTCTTTACTAAGGGAAATTGAGAAAAAGCATTTTTATACCTGTGTCTTGGTCTGTTTTGTGTTGCTTATAGCAGAATATCTGAAACTGCATAATGTATAAAGAAAAAAACTCAACATTGCCACTTTGGAGAGTATGTTTCAACATGAGTTCTGGTTGGAACATTCAAACCACAGCAAACAGGTACCAGGGAACATATTAATTTGCTAAAGTAATGAAGTGACATCTGGCATATAAATTGTAGTTGGAGTCACTATCTGGTTAACTTTATAGTAATCTATTGTCATTCTCCAAAATTGTCATCTTCTGCACAGTCCAAATAGTCAAGTTGGTCAGAAACATTGTGGGGATTACTGTGTGAACATTCTTTAAGTTCTTGATAGTGGCACCTATCTCAGTAATTTTTTCCAAAAATACATTATTATTTTTCATTTTCTGCTTTCCGAGGCAGAGGCAATCCTAGTGGCCTTTCCAACCATAATAGCCTTTACTTCACAGGTGAAAGGACAATTGTTGGTTTTGTCAGGAGTAGATCTTAAGTCTATTCCAATATTTCATACTGGAATGGAAGGAACAACCACTGGATGAGTTTGAGGACACACTGGGTCCTCTGTGAGATGGACCTGAGCAAAACCTCCATTAATCACCCAAGTCCCTTACTCCCTTAAGTTTGGAGTCTCTTGAAACTAGTGTCAGTTCAGAGCCAGTGTCTAGAAATGTCTGAAAAATCTATTTCTTTTTCTCTAGTACACACTCACCTGGTAAAGAGCTATGAGTCTCTCTGGGGAAAAGAGAGAGAAAGATTAGCAGTATGAATCATGGGCAGTGTGGCCGGGTCTCTGGGGGAACTGGCCTACCCTTCATTTAGGGGGCTCTGGGTATGTAAACTGACTCAAGTCAGGGAGCTGATTCAGGACCTGTGACTCTATGTTTTTATGATTCAAGTTCCACTTCTGTTCATTAGACCTAGAAGTCTTCTTCTTACATGGAATAAGTAAGAATTTTGTAGATTCTACATTTCTTTGGCATCTCGGAACACCATCACTGACTAGCCAATGCCATATGTCTTGGCAAATCAGGCCATTCTGATTACTGATTTGATTATGCTGCCCATTATTGAGACCACACTACACTATCTTTGGTGAGTAAGTGCTACTGCATGGTCTCTGCCAACTTCCCTCCCTGCAATTGCTTCCATGACAGTTAAGGATCTCACATCACTGACAGCAGTTCCCACTGTCATTTCTGACCTACAGAGAGGGTAATCACAGAGCACTTCAAGGATAGTGGAGCTCCCTGGATAAATTCACTTCTCACAGTCATGGTGAAAGATGCTCCCCATAGATATCAAAGGAGAAACAGAACACAAGACTAAGGCAGAGGTCTTCAGCAAGAGTCATGTCTAGTGAAGCTGTTGGGGAGGCCACCCAAGAACCCAGACCAGTACAGTCACTGATAGGTAATTCCATTTGTAGGGAGCAGCAAAGAAGCAAGTCCAATTCATGAGAGCTGCACTGGGTGTGCTGTGCCCAACCAAGGCAGGGAATCTGGGAGCCTTTGGAGAGGACCAAGAACATGACACATTCAGTCAAAGAAGATGATTCTTGAGCCGTAAGTTATTTGACCTATGGAGTTTTGGGGTTGCTTGGGGCTTGTTACCTCTACCTCCTTCCCTGTGCTTCCCTTTTAGAACTGGAATGTCAGCCCCCTGCCTGGGCAGCCATTGCATTTTGGAAGCGCACAATGTGCTTCATTCATATGCCCCATAGCAAGAGCAACTTGACCCAGGATGAGCTGTACTTTGAATCTTATCCAAATCTGATGTAGATAACAATTGAATAAGACTTTGCACTTAGGCTTAAAAGTAGATGCTAGAATGAATTTAGACTTTTGGAGCTAGTGGAGAGCAATGCAAGTACCCTGCATGTGAGAAGGATATAAACTTTGGGGAACCAGAGGCAGAATACTATAATCTGAATTTTTGTGCCTCTCCAAAATTCATATGCTAAAATCCAATCAGCAGAGTGATAACAGAAGTAGGGGAAGGCTTTTGGGAGGACATGAGGTCATGAGAGAGGAGCCCTATGAATTGGGATACTGCCCTCATTAAGTAAGCCCCAGACTATAGGAAGGTCTTACCTCTGAACCAAGGAGCAGAGCCCTCCCCAGACACAGAATAAACTTGCCCCTTGGTGACACCCTTCACAACCTCCAGAAAATAAATTTTTGATTTTGTAAAATACTCAAGACATGGCATTTTGTTACAGGAGCCTGAACAAACTAGACAAACAGTCTGTTTAGTTGTACTTCTAGGTGTGCCTAAGGATCTTTTCAATGATAGGAAAACAAAAGCTCTAATGTGGCTGCTATGTTGTTCAACCCAGTGACCACAGTGGGGACACGACAGTACGGTAGACACCCTCTTAGCCAGGGCACTTCCAGTTCCTGGCTGGTGTGTTGCAGAGCGGTGGCTTGGAGGGGTCTATTTCCTCTGCTGGATGAGGAGTACATGGAGAGGGTGTGGAGGTGGGTCCACTCTGATAACTGCTGCCCCTCTGTTTCTACCCCAGGTCCTAGCTGGGTCTGCACTCCTATGTTGACCAGAGGAATGAGTGAGCAGCGCTGTCTGTATAATCATTGGCATAATCATATCCATGCCACTGCCAGAGACATTGCTCAGGCGACATCCAAACCTCCCACCCCATGAGCCTCCCCGCTCCACTCAGCATCCTCAGGACATGCCCCTAGGACAGGACAGGGAGTGGGACACTGAATGCCCACTGGCCCAACACCACCTGCTCCATGGGCAATAAGGCAGGGACACGTGGCCAATGCTACTTAGCTGTGGGGTCACAGTGGCCTCCAGACTCAGTTTTCTTGACTTGAAAATGGGGATGTGTCAGGACAAGAGATGCCAATGGCCTTGTCCCTCTACCCTGCAGGATCCCATTCCCAGAAGGCAGGTGTCAGAGAGTCAGTCAACAGACCTGCACACTCACATGCCATCCCCTTTAATGACTCAGAGACAAACCACACAGAGGCTTTTGTGAGGGGACAGGGAGACGGCAGCAGGGGGTTGTGAGAGTGGCCAGGAAGGCATGGGGAAGAAACATGAGGGCCTGCAGGGTGTGCTGGGAGTGTGTGGGCAAAGCTCTGGGGGAATACTGCCTGCCTGAGGAGCGAGGTGGGACAGGCGGCAGGGCCGAGTCCTGCTGGCAAGAGTGTCCCCAGTGCCGCCCTGGCATTGCTGTATAGCCTGGCAATCCCTGGCAATCCCTGGCCCTCCCAAAACCCTAACCCTAACCCTCAGGTGTTCCATGTGAGCAGGGGCCAGCTGGACAGTGGTGTGAGGCAGCACGCAGTGCACAGGGAGAGAACAGGGTGGCCTGGGGCCCTGGCAGAGGGACCCTGGTGGCGAGGCTGGAACCCTCGGTGGGGAGGCGAGGCTAGTTGGCAGCCCTGAAGGTGAGGATGGGGACAGTGGTAGGCGTCAGTATGAACCGGTAGGCCATCCTTACATCCTCCTGGTTTAGAGTCTCCACCAGGAAGTTTTTCAGCACCTAGGACAGAAGCTGTGATTCCATCTGAACCCGGTGCAGCCTCCACCCAACTCTAGGCGAGGAACGTGCTGCAGTGGGAAGAGCAGCCTGAGGTCCCAACCAGCGTGAGCCAGTGAGCCCGGACCTGTCAGCCCAGCCTGGCCAAGCCCAGGTCAGGCCAGGCCGCCAGGAGCGGCTCAGGCTGCCCAGGCTGCAGGGCCCCGCCCCTCCTTCCCAGGTCCAGCCAGTCTGCTCCAGCCGCGCCCCACTCTGAACCCGAAACACTCAGGCCCCGCCCACACCTGTTCCGCCCCGCCCCACTCTGCTCCACCCTCGCCCCGTCTGGCCCCGCCCACCTTGCCCTTCCCACTCTGCGCTGGCCACGCCCCACATGCCCCGCCCAGCCCAGCCGCGGCCCGCTCACGTGGTGCAGCAGCAACACCATCTCCACCTCTGCCAGGCGCCGCCCCAGACACTGGCGAACGCCAAAACCAAAGGCCAGGTGGCGGAAGTTTGTGCTGGAACCCTTGATGTCCAGCCAACGATGGGGGTCATAGCGCTCTGGCCTCGGGAAGGAGGCGGGGTTGCGACCCAGGGAAGGGAGGAACACCTGGACCAGTGTCTGCGGACAGTGCGGAGGGACAGGTCAGCTGCACCGTCGGTAATGGGGGTGGGGCCTCGGCTGGAGGGGCGTGGGGCGCACTCACCCCCGCGGGGATGTGGTAGTTCTGCAGCACCACGTCTGAGGGCAGGAGTCGCTCCAGGTTGACGCCCACGGGGTAAAGTCTGGGGCGGGGACATCGGTGAGTGGTCTCAGCGTACAGGGCCCCTGTCCCGTGCCCTCTACAGCTTTCCTATCACGACCCCGCCACCACCACCCAGAGGCCCATGGGAAGGCCAGACCGTGAGGAGGTGCTTTTGTGCACCTGCTGAGCTCAGCCAAACTCCCCTCAACTGGAGTAGCCCCAACCAAGCAGGAGACGCCGAGTTGGCCCCAGGACACTGAGAGGGATTCCAAAGGAAAGAAGGGGCCCCTCTCCTTCAGGACAGAAAGGAGGGGCAGGGAAAGGGTCCTGAGGCAAGGCTGCTGATCAGCCCCATTTCCTGGCTGCCACTTGCCAGTGAGCACTGCTCTCCAGCAGGGGGCAGGGTGGCTGCGGAGAGGTCAGCAGGCACCTACCTCAGGGTCTCCTTGAGGGCTGCCCTCAGCAGGGGAAGCTCCACCATTGCCCTCTGGGGATTGTCAGTGATGCTAGTGGCAGCTTCCAGGCTCTCCTGGCGCAGGGCCTGCTGCACCTGGGGGTTTCTGGCCAACTCAAACAGTGTCATCAGCAGGGGGAAGGTTGTCTGCAAGAGCCACAGATGCAAGGCTCAGGCATGGACACCTGCCCAGACCTCCTCCCTCAGGGTGGCTCTTCCAAGCATGTACCCCCTCCCTGGGGCGGGGGTGTGCATGCCCTGAGCAGGACACATCCCTGGAACCCTGGACCTCAAATCCCAATGCCCATCTGCACTCCCTTCCCTGAGTCCTCCACAGACAGGGATTGCCATCCCACCAATGCCCACATGCAAGTCTTTTCAACAGTTGACAGAGTGCTGAGGATGGGAGGGTGCAGGGCCTGGGGCTGGGGCCCATGGCTGATACGTGACAATGGAGGACACTGCCTGAGAGACAGGGTGGGTGCTCTCTGACCGTGTCCACACTCCCTGCTGTGAGATCAATAGCATTGGCCTTGATGGCATCTGGTGACAACTCTGCCTGCAATAGCAGCTCTGCCACAATGCCACTGTAGTGTGTAGGGTGGTTGAGTGCCAGTTCCTGATAGATTTTCTGGATGCTGTTGTTGGCTGTAGGAAGAAGAAGAAACACCCCTGGCTGAGAACTGAGAAGCACCCCCTCTTAGTCCTGCACCCAGCACCCCAAGTCCCCCTGGCCCCACCCGCTCTGGGTCAACCCAGTCCAGATTTTGGCTCAGCTTTGACTCTTCCTGGCAGACCTCTGCTCTCCCCAGGGCTGTGGAGAATGAAAAATTGGACCACCACAGAGGCCCTGCCACATGACACTGCAGGGTCCCTGACCCTCACCATACTGGAAGATGCAGTCCCATGCCTCAAAGTGCTCCTCCCATGTCCTGGTGCTGGTCCAGCGGGACAGGCTCCTGGGTATGAACATGAGCTGGGCAGTGGATTTGAACATAGTCTCCAGAGCGTGTATTAAGTTCAGGCTGGCTGGGCTGGGGTTATGGCCAAAGAGACCCAGCCGCTCTCCAAAAAGTGCTAGGTTGCTGGCTGCAGGGAGGATGGCACCACTGAGCCAAAGGCAGCCTCCCACCAGCCCTCCCTGTCCCCTTCCTACTCTACTCCAACTTCACTGGGGGGGACCTCCCACCTGACCTCACACCTTCTATGGAATAGTGGACGATGCTGGGCTGGATGTCCAGGGTCAGGCCCCCCTGGGCATTCCGTAGCACCTTCTTCTTCAGGGTCTGGGTGAAATCCCTTGCTACTGTATCCACCATGGGGAGGTACTTCTCCACAGCTTTTGGGGTCAGCACTCCTGGGTTCAGCCGCAATCGGTGGAAGCGCCATTCGGGCCCATTCCTACAGAACAGAGCACACGGCTGGAGAGGCAGCCCCAGGCAGACACCAGGCCCCAAACCTATATCCCACCTTCCTCGTCCCCAAGGGAATCGGCGGGGCAGGGCACTGATGGGGGCCTTGAGACAGCGGCCTGTGTTGCTATTGTGAACAGTGTTTTCTCTCTGAGTGGACTCCAGGTGCTGGGCTCAGGACTTGGGGACGAGACAGTGGCTTCTGCCTGACTGTGCTGTGGGGGCTTCATGAAGTTCATTCATGTGAACTTCCTGGCCCCTGCCTGCCTCACAGACAACCTATGTGAGCCCTCCCTGAGTGGGAATGCCTTTTCTCTAGGGGGAAGGTTGTCCCTTGGTCAAGCTATGCCTGGTATTCACAATATTTGTGCTCATGCACTCAGAACAGACGTGTGTAACACATCAGGTTGCATGGAATCACAAGCTCACACATGCAACATGCTTACAAATGTGGGCACCGACACAGGTGCACATTCAATGCACAGGACTGCAAATGCACACACATTCACGCAGACTTGCACACCTCTTGCTTCAGATATGCAACCCACCCTTCTGCAACTGTCCTTTCTGCTCCTGACCCCCACCCAGATACCTCCAGTTAAGGGTCCCACGCAGAAGAGGCCATCCACCTAAACCCCGCTATTCCCAAGAGAATCCACTTCCCCACAGTGTGTGGTGGCTGTCAACTGTCCACGTCCATCCTTCAGGCCCTCCTGTCCTAATGGCAGCCCGTCTGCAGCTGATGGACTCAAGCACACTCTTCTTCCTCGGCCTACCAACCAAACCAGGGGTGCCACCACTTCCCTGGGGAATGATACATCCCAAGGCAGTGGCCCCACCTGCTGCTTAGCTCCTGAGAACACAGGACAAGCAACCACCTGCATCCGTGCTCACCGGCCCCCTGCCCAGGACTGGGTCCCCAAGGCAAAGGTTTGCCTGAACTCTGGGAGCCAAGGGCAGCATGGTGGACAGCAAGCTCTGGGACACTCTGACTATGACCTGGGCCAGCGTCCACCTTCTCAGAGCCTCTGTTCCTCACCTGTACGCTGGAGCCCCAGCAACCATGAGGGAACATGGCCACCAGGGCTGTGCAGTGGGTGCTCCCTAACGCACAGCTCATTGCCCTCCCTCCTCTCAGCGCAAAGTGCCCTGCACACGTCTCTGCCACTGCCCTGCTCCCCCCACCACAGGGTACATGGGACCCAAGGGAGACACTCCTTAGGGTTTGGTAGTCACTCTGGTTCCACAACCACCACACCCACAAGTCCCAGGCAGGGGCGATTTGGGGTCTTCTCTGTGTCGCCTCCTCTCTTTGTCCCAGTTGCCCTTCCCCCCATTCCAACTGGACCCTCACAGCAAGAACACGCCACATTTGTGCCCACGGTGATGCCTATAGGCCAGCCAGGGATCCAGGCACATCCGGCGTGGGTGCAGAGTCTCCACCTGCTGCAGCCTCTCCACGTCCTCTGGCAGCATCACAGACACCCTTGGTGTCCCTCCTATGTCATACCTGTGGGACAAAGCACAACGTCCTGCCGGGCAGGGCCACGTCCTCCCCTGGGTCCAGCTCTGTAAAGCCAGTCCAGATTGGCTTTATCCGACCTCCCCCTTCTGGACTAGTGATTTCACAGCAGGAAGTCCCCCCTGCTGTCTACCCGAAACCTCGCCAACCCCAGTGCCTCCGAGTTCTGTCCTCAGGCACGAGCCCTGGTTTGCTGTCTCCTCATGAGGAGCTGTGATGTCCTCTGCTGAAGACAAGGACCCATCACCCACTGGGCTCCCTCCCGGTCTCCCCCAGGATGCAGAGCACAGGGAGGATTCTGGGTGTCCTCGCTTAGGGGCAGGGAGGGCTTTACCTGAAAATTGGCCCCAGCTCCTGGAAGTTCTGCTGCATGTCCAGGTGGAGGTTCTCATAGCCCTGGTCCTTCCAGATCTGCAGTGTCTTCATCCAGGTGTTGGAGCGACTCTGGGGTATGGCTTCGAAGGGCAGCACTGCCTTGGGGGCCAGAGCGGCTCTGGTGCCCAGTGTCCGTGGCCCTCTCAGGGACAGGCAGGGCCCCGCCAGCCACGCACCTGCCTTTCTCCTGAATGCCATCCCAATGCTCCCTCTATTCCGTGCCCAAATCCTTTTATTTGTCATGGGACCTGCACTGGTAGATGAATCACGTCATGGGAGAAACCGTCCCCGGACCTGCCTGTACACCCAGGGCTGAGGTCAGGGCTGAAGCAAGGTCTGCCCTGGGGTGCAAGGGGGTGGAGGTTGGGGGAGCAGCCTCTCCCTCCTCCAGGGCAGAGCAGTGGATGATGAATGTGCCCCTTATCTTTCCTGGGACCTTGGATTATTCATCTACCTCTTGCAACATGCAGTGCAGAGGAAAGGGGAGAAGAATGGGGTTCACTAGAGTAACCCACTCCTGCCTGTCCCTGCCCTCCCAGGCCTTGTGCTGGTGCCTGCAGTGGAGAGCTGACCGGGCTCCATCATCATGTCAGCCTCAGCCCTGGGGGCAATGCAGTGAGTGCAGGGGCACAACGTGTAGGGGGGATTCACTGTGTGTTCCAGGGCTTCACTGTGTGTCCCGACCCGACCCAGTCTTGCCTGGCCTTGCTGGTGCAGCTAATGGAGACATCGGTCCTTCAGGGGTTGGGGGTGCTAGAAGCCACCCTTGGGCTGAAAGTTGAGGCTGTAGCTTGCCTAGACCCGTCCTTGCCTATGAAGTGGCCTGTGGCAGCTGTTCCGGACCTGGCTTCCCCATGGCACATTGCCCTGGTTTAGATTCAGAGCTCAGGCAACAGGAGATGGTAACATCCGACCTGCGGCACCATCAGGGCCCCGCTGTCCAGTCAGCTCTCTGCAGCAGGCACTCGGCCAGGGCTGTCCTTCAGAGGGTGGGTCCGTGGTGTGGTTCTCGTGTTGTCCCACTGAAGCCTGCAGCAGTCCCGGGAAGTAGGCACTGCTGCCACTGTCCCAGATGTTCTGTCACCTGCCTCATGTCCCAGGGAGGGAGCCCGGGGCCCTTGCCCTCAGCTCTGTTCAGCTGTGCCTTTGAAGCCGGGCCCCCTGTTCCCAGCCTGAGGCTGGGCAGCCCAGCTCCAGGAAGCTGCCCCCCCTGCTGTCTCCCAGCACCTTCCAGGGGGCTGTGGCCTCTCCTGTTTCAGATCCCAGTAAGAAGTGAATTCTGTTCTGCTGGAGGTCTGCCTCAGCTCTGCTTGCCACTGACTTCTACTCTTGAGGTTCCAGCATGAAAGAGACACCCATGAGTCAATCAGGGCCTGCGGGGGGCGGGGGCTCTCAGCCTGGACCAGGCACGGGGAGCATGCTGGGCCCTGCCCTCCCTGGCCCATGCTGCCCACCAGGGCCCTGCCTCTGCCTGTCCACTGGGGAGACAGTCTGGCCCCACGTGGCATTGCCCTACAGTCTCCCCTTCGAAAGATACCCCACATCCACTTGGGGCAGGCACCTGGCCAGGAGGGGATACCAGGGTTGCTGATGTCCTGGGGGACGTTAGTGCTGGTGGGGCTCTCCACCAAAATGCTCATCAAAGGTAAGTGGGGCAGACTGAGGGGGTGAGTGTGGGCGGGAGAGTCACATGCCACACGGGCCCCAGATTTGTGGAGCACAGCTGCTCAGAGGACCACAGTGTCTGTGGGATCCAAGCGTCTCACCCATTAATTATCCCATGAGCACAAGTTAGGGTAGTTTGAGGGTGTTTGTCATGAGACTAGAGAAAGTACAAGGCGCTACCCGGAGAGGTCCAGCGGGGGGCAGGTGCCACCAGGGCTGAGGTGGCATTGGGAGGTGCTGACCCTTCATCACTGGTGGCTGTGGTCTGGGTCTCTGTAGGGAGGAGGACTGGTTGGGCGGCCTGGGGTGCTGCCAACTGGCTTCACTATGGACTCACGCCGACAAGGACAGCAGAGGTGTGGGTTTCCCCTAACCCTAATCATGTTGTTCAAGATTAGAGCCATTGTGTGGGGAAATGAGATGACTGAAGTTTGTCACAAGTGGTTGGCCTTGAGGTGTGTGTGGACTGTGGCTTGCACATCCCTGGTGTTTCTTCAGTATCACCTGAGTTCCTTACCCCACAGGAAGGGCCATGTGGGAGCCCTGGCCTGTGGGGACACAGACTTGTGTGCAGGGATTTATGCTGTGTCTGAGGGGAAAGGATGAGCTCCCCCAAACCTAGGGGGAAGTGGGACAGAGGCTCTGGCAGGAGGAGGGACCAAGGTGAGAAGGGGGAGCTGGAAAGGCTGGCGGAGGCAGGAGGGTGGCATGAGGGTTTTAGCAGGAATGGGCCAAGTTTAATATTTCCTCAATCAACCCCTTCTTCTCACATGTCCTTGGGCGAGCCTTTAGCAAGGAGTGGTACGTCAGCTGTGGCCTGGCCCTGAGCATGACTGTGACAGAAGAGTGATGTGGCCTTCTCAGTTTCTGCGCAGTAATAACTGTGCCAGAGTGGGTGGAGGCAGGCAGGAAGCCTTCCTTTGGCTGCAGCTCAATCATCACTGCCTTGCTGGACTCTGCCATGCTGCCCATGCCTGCCAGTGCCCTCCTTCCAGCAGCTTCTGCAAGGCACCAGGGCTCTCTGAGCTGCTCCCATGGGTGGCCAGCAATCACGTGGACTGTGTGGATGAGCTGGACTTCTATCATCCTGCAGTCATCTTCCCTGCTGGGCCATGAAGGTGGCCAGGTCCCTGCCTGGGTTGACTTGGGGCCCAACACATAGCATTTCTAAGAGGAACACGTGCGTGATTTCACCCTAACTACAAAGGGGCTTGTGTGCGGACACCACCAGTGGCCAGTGCCCTGTGACCCCCACCACTAGATCCTTGGATGCTTGGGAGAGTGTGGCCATCTCAAAGTTCCCAAAGATGAGGGGACTTTGGGCATCTTCTGCCTCTGCACCTTCTCTGCCAGAACCATCTCCTAGCCCTGTGACTCGGTCACTGTTTCCCTTCACTTTTGAAAGTGCACAGCTGACCACCAGGCAGAGGCAGCGAGTAAGTCTCCCCTCCATGAGACTATCTTGGGTTCCCTTCACCACAGCACTTCTCAAGCTGTGGTGAAAGAATAATGTCTGCAGAGTTTGTCAGAATGCGTGCTACCAGGTGCCACCTCAGAAAAAGTGCTGAGGAGAGCCAGATCCAAGAACATGAAGTTGTATCAGTCCCCGAAGCGATTCTGATTCAGGCAGCCTTCACATCACACTTTCCTCTCTACCTCTGGCTGGACACTGTGGGGGTGGGGAGCGCTGGGGGACTGTGGGTTACAGAGAATTATGGAGAGGGGAGCACTTCCATGCTGGTTTGGCATGAGGTGGAGCAAGGCCAGGAACAGCACAGTCTGGGTGGGGGCAGAAGAAGAGCAACATTCACAACAGGGCAGTGCAGGGAGACAGACGAGAGGGGGTGCCCATGGGCAGGAGAGGACACTGTTGAGCAGACAGTCCTTAGGCAAGTCAAACCAAGGTGGAGGTTGGAACTACGACATGGAAGGGCTGTCAGGCAGAGGGACAAGGAGGTCAGACGATGGAGAGCACAGATGACCACCAGGCAGAGGCAGCAAGTGGAGGTTGGGAAGTTGGAGGCAGGAACGCCCCCCCTGTTGGCTCGTACCCGGTGGCCATGAGTCCCTGCCTGGCACTTTGTGTGTTCCCAGCCACTCCTCCCCTGCTGTGCTTTCTGGACCTACTCAGGCCCCTCTTTCCTCCCCTCAGTGTTGCAGTAAGGGTTTCACAGAAAAGCGACGTCGCGAAGAATAAGGACGCTTATTGAAATTGTATTTTAAATAAAGGTGACCATCTGCTCGCTCAGGCAAAATGGCCAGCTTCTTTATTTGCAGTTGGCTTATATAGGGAATTTTGTACATGGGCACAATGCAGTAATGACCTCATTGATCCATTTAAAGAGCTTATAACCACGTAGCTCCTCCCTGGTAATCTAATAATCCACCCAACATACACCGTTAAGCATAATCCTTTCAATATAACCTGGTTTAACATAACTTAATGAAGAACATGTTGTCAGTTATTACTTTCTTTGTTCTTATCTGATGAAGCCTGAGGCTACGGGGGAAAGAGATGATTTGGGTGTTTCACCTATATTTCCCCCTTCTTTTTCTTATTGGCATTACTGACCATGCCATTTGGAGGCCATTATTTTGAATCTTTAAGCAAGGCATAGAGAAACTTCTTGGGCATACAGGAGTTTGTGTGCAAACCTCTGCTCCCATGTAGGCCTTAAGTCGGGGGCGGGGGTTTCCTGGAGCCTTTTATGAGGAATTCTCAGGGTGGACTTCTCAAAAGCCTTCCATGAGCCCACATTTCATCTGTGCCATTAGATACCTGTATGACATTACCATTCCCAGACCTGTCAGCAAGCGACCTTCATCACTAACCACAGATCAGGAATCCAGACCCGTCAGTAAGTGACCCTCGTCCCTTACCAGAGATCAGGAAAGGTTACTCCATTCCCAGACCCCTCAGTAAGTAACCTTCGTCACCTACCACAGATCAGGAAAGGTTACTGATGGATATCTGGCCAGTGTTCCAAAGGGCTTTCTCATAGGCCTTAAAGTCAACCTTAATTCCTTAACGCAGTCTGGAACTGCTATTCCAGCCAAAACCTTGTTCATGTTAGGCCCGCAACTAACCTGGCCACATGGGATTCTGCCTCAGTTTCTTAAGTATGCCTGCCCACAGTCTTTTCACTGCTCTCTCTCAAGCCGCTTTTTTGGCCAGAGGCATATAGGCGTTTCACCTATAACTCAATAAATACTAGCAAACTGAATTTAGCAATATATGAAAAGAATTATAAACCACGGACAAGTGTGTTTATTTCAGAAATAAAAGGTTGGTTTAACATCCAAAAATCAATTATTTTAATAGTATATCATATTAGTAGAATGAAAAACAAAAGTCACTGTCTCATCTCAGTAAATGTAGAAAGTGCATTTGAGAAAAGCTAACACCATTCTCATGATGAAAATACTGAACACGCTGGAGGTAGAAGGTAACGTTTTCAACCTGAGAAGGACATTTGTGAAAGCTCAACAGCTGACCCCTTGTGTAGTGGTGACAGACTGGCTGCTTCCTCGTC